GAGCTCAACAACTCGCGGCGATCGAGGATGCAGCTGTGGACGAGCTTCGCTGAGCGCTGTGTGGCGGCCACCAAAGAATCCAAAGAGCATGCTGCCGGAGCTCCGGTTGCACGTGTGCCCCAGTCATTCAGACCGTCCTGTGTGCTCAAGAAGGGTGCCGGAGAGGATGCCAATCAGAGGGGGCGGCACCCGTGCTCAGCGTGCAACCAAGCCCCACTACGGCGTGCTCCCAGCAAACCTGTGTGCCCGAGTGCATGCATGCATCTTGGCCCCGAGCACGGATTCTTCGTGGTTCTACTGCTCGAATGCCTCCTTCCTGCTCCCGTACGATGTGGCTGCAGACCAAATTCTCTTTGAGGTTCCGGCTGAGTCCCAAGAGAACCCGATGACTTTGTCAAAGAAGCAGTGAGAGTTGGACATCCCAGGAACGCTCTCGGTTCTAGCAGGGAAGGCCCGGCCTCAGACATTGCAGACGCTGTTCTCATGACGTGTGAGGAGAGGGGGCAGCTTGCTGCAGACACAAAGGCCCGCTGGGCCCGGATCGAGGCGGACACCAAGCATCTTAATGCAAAAATGCTTGAGGAGAAACCTGCTTACTTGATCAAGGCGTTGGGCGACAAGAATCTTTTGGCATGGCGGTACATCCTTCAAGAGAATGGCTTCAAAGACCAGCAGCTGTGGTCTGACCTTCGCGACGGTTTCCGTCTTACGGGATGGATGAGGGATACGGGCATCTTCGACAAGAGAGTTAGGCCGCCTACCGCGACGTTGGAAAGCTTGCTGGGCCAATCCTCGTATCAGACTCCTCTCACGATGAACCGTCTCAAGAAGACGGTGATCGACGACACTGCTCGCAAAGCCTGGGCGGAAACTGTGGAGGAGGAAAAGAAGGGATGGATCTTCCGCGATGCTGCCGCAAAACCTTCTGAAATCATCCTTGCTCACAGGTTTGGGCTGAACCAGAAAGGCAAGGTAAGGGTGATTGACAACGGAAAGGATTGTGGTTTGAACCTTGCATGCGGGCTGCCAGAGAAGTTCACACTGCACGGTGTGGACGTGCTGGCTGGCGTCTTCGTTGAACTCCTCAACAGGGATGCCTCGAGGGGGTCGAAGCTCAAGGGCAAAACGATCGACTTGGTCTCCGCTTACAAATTTTATCCCATTCATCCTCAGGACAGAAAACATCTTCGCATCGGGGTGTATGTGTATGACACTGACTCGAACGTCGTCCGCATATACGGCACCAACGTGCTCCCTTTCGGAGCGACGGGCAGCGTGGCGGGCTTCCTGAGGGTTTCTGCAGCGCTGTGGCACACAGGAGTTCGTGACTTGGGACTGGGATGGTGTGCCTACTTCGATGACTTTCCCCTGTTGGCTTTGGAGGGTCATGAGGCTCAGGTGAATGGACTTTCGGGTCAAGTCTTCGAGGCTTTGGGCGTCGAGTACGCCAAGGAAGGCCGCAAAGCAACGGAGTTCGGGGAATCCTTCAATGCTCTCGAGCTGACCTTCGACCTTAGCGGCTTCAAGGACGGTGTCGTTACAATCCGACACACCGAGGCCAGAACCGAGGAGCTTGTGTCGAGCCTTGAAAGCATCCTTCAGGAGGGAGCCCTCAAACCCAAGGATGCGGAGGTGCTGCGCGGTCGCACGCACTGGTGCACCTCATATCTCTTTGGAAGATCCCCCTGTGAGGCTATGCATCAGATATCTTTGAGGGCACAAAGTCACGACACCCACTCAGGGTTGAATGACGACTTGGTTTCTGCGCTTGAGACTATGCTGGCATATCTGAAGGAGGCCCGCCCTTTGGAGATTCGACAAACTACGGGACGAGAGATGTTCGTCTTCACTGATGGATCTCACGAGCCAACTTCGAACATCAAAGCTGGCATTGGGGGCGTGCTGTATGATTGCACAGGTACGCCCTTGGCTTTCTTCAGTTCACATGTGCATGAGGACGATTTGCAAACCTTGGAAGCCGATTCAGAGCACCCCATATACGAGGTAGAATTGTATGCCGCAGTCATCGCTTTCAAGCTTTGGGGGCAATGGTTGCAGGACAGTTTTTCTGTGTTCTATCTTGATAACGAGGCTGCTCAATCCGCTTTGATTGCTGGCAAATCTGTCACCAAGAATGGACGCTCCCTCATCCAGAGTTTCGTCAGCCTCGAGCACAAATGGAAAGCTCGCCCATGGTTTGGAAGGGTACCTACTCTAACCCTTCTGACGAACCGAGCCGTCGGATCACCGAGCGCTTGTTGAGCCAGGGCGCTGAGGTGACGGATTGCCATTTCGGCAGACTGCTGGCTTGACTTGCAGGGACGAGGTAGTGCACTTTGCCTGGGGTATATCACGGGTGCACAAGTGTTGAACACGTGCATTGGGTGTCCTCGTGACTCTTGTGCCACGCTTTGGAAGCGTGACCTTGTGGTCAGGGGAGACGGGTCGAAACTCGTTTCGGATTCTACCCCACGGCATCAACGATAAAACAAGTGTGCGCGAGAGCTTCTGCCAGTGTGGACTTTGTGATACCGAATGTCATATACATATTTGTGAATGAAATTATATTGCGATTGAAGATTATCCGTTTGTGGATTTGGAAATAAGTGACCTCATCACTTGTGATTATCACTTTATTTCCTTTCCACAACAACCGGTTTTTCATGTTTTGAAACACGGTTGAGGATTTATCTTCAATTGTAGCGATGACTTGGATTGCCTCACGTCACAGCATTTCCAGCTCAAGAGAAGTTGGAAAAATTTGTTTACCCGCCCACCCGCCCGGGGTATATCACGGGTGCACAAGTGTTGAACACGTGCGTTGGGTGTCCTCGTGACTCTTGTGCCACGCTTTGGAAGCGTGACCTTGTGGTCAGGGGAGACGGGTCGAAACTCGTTTCGGATTCTACCCCGCGGCATCAACGATAAAACAAGTGTGCGCGAGAGCTTCTGCCAGTGTGGACTTTGTGATACCGAATGTCATATACATATTTGTGAATGAAATTATATTGCGATTGAAGATTATCCGTTTGTGGATTTGGAAATAAAAACTATAAACTCTAATTAGAGATGAATATTTAGTACCGCTTTCCTGAATGGACCCTTGCATTTTCTGGGTCGCATGAGCTTTTGCAGGCACATGTGGCGACGACGTCTCGTCAGCTCTTTCCTGTGCTCGGGCTGGGCGGCTAGGCTTGCGAGAACCGATCTCCTTCAGGGGCGGTGAACTCGTCACTGTCACACTCGCGAAGAAGACGCTTGTGGCTTTCCAATGCCACGAATTTAGATCCATCCTTATATCGAGCATCCTTGGGAAAGTTTATCAGCGCAAGGTGAGGGAGGAGCTCCCACATGTCTTGCGCGCGCAGCGACACGTGCTGCATGCTGGTACCCGCTGGTACACTTCCTGGTGAGGATATATAAGTGCATAAGTCTGGCCGCCAACACTTGCCAGCACATGTTCGAGGCAGTGCGCAATCTTTGGGCGCTTAATTAACTTAACCTTCATGGTGCCTTTATCAGGTGGTGCGTGAAGCCGTCGCTCCAGGATGCTTCGTCAACAATTGCTCATATCGTTTTGCCAGCTTCTGCTTGCGTGGAGCTTCGGCGGCACTTGGAACAGCTCGCCCTTCTACCCAGCCTTCAAGCCTCGCCCCATGTGACCTTCATTGTCAATAGCATGTTTCGAGGGTCTTAGTTTCACATTTGATGATGGATGGCTCCACCTTGACACTTACTAGGAGGGGCAGACGCCCCGACGATCCGGCTGCGGACGCCATGTTCCGCCTCACCATGTCAGCTTTTATTCGGTCTCTTGAAGAGGACTTTGGACGCCGTCAGCTCCTCCCTCCCATGACTGCCCCAGTTTCGCGGCACGATTGGGATTCGTCAGCCCCCACCTCAGGCATCGGCAGCCCTGCGTGGGCAGATGATTTTGTTCGGCGCTTTGATAGTTCCACCCCGGCTGTGCTGCTTGAGACTGCTCCGGAGTGACAATCTCCTTCGGGAGACGGAAAAACTGCCCTCCTTTGGCCTGCCTATATGTTTGGACACTGGAACCGAGGTTGATTTCACTGCTGGCCATTTCGCAGCTGGTTCCTCCCTTCATCCCGGTGCGAGACATGTCGACTTGGGTTGAAGACCACGTGTCGCAACGGTCGATTGAAGGTCCACGTTCCTGCTCCTTTTCTTTCTGGAATAAGTGTCCTTCTGCATGAACTTGGGGATGCGCCGCCTCTTCGAGACGGCTCGAACACAATCCACACAGAACAGAAAAGATTCAGGCCTTACCACACGGAAATTGGGGCGTCCACGTAGCCACGTAGGGCGCAAGATTCCGAGCCAAACGCTACATTACAAAAACCCCAAAACTCTTGAAAATGTTTGAATATAGAAGCATGGAAACTCACCAAGATCTGACTTTCACCCAAATAAAGCATGTTCGCAGCGGTCACCGTGTTCAAACAACCCCCACAACATAGTCTACTATTCAGGGCTTTGGCCCAAGATGTAATCAGCCCTCTAAACACCGTCTCTCCTTTGGGGATTAGGGTCGTTGGCTGAGGGTTCTGGTTTTTCTCAGTCTGGGTTTTGAGTCACAAAGCCGCCGCGAGCGGAAGCAACATTCGGCTTAGGGTTTACGGGCTCGCGGTATCGGCTCGGTCTCGGGGCTAGCTCTTTGGATGTCGTTTGCACCGGAAGTTTAAGCATCCATAATAGGCACAAGGATAGTCCTCATCTTTAAGCCTTTCTGATTCTCAATCGTGCGAAGGCTCTGGGTTTCTTTGGTCTCTGGTATTTGTTTGTCTTGGTACATGAATAAGAATATAGTACCACCAGTAAAGTATTCAACATCATAGTATTGCAAGTACACAAAATTAAATCATGGCTTATGCTTACTGGTGCAATTATTTGCGGGCATCAGCCATCCCCCACTTGTATTTCCGGTGTGTGGGGCACGGTAGATCTGCCAGCATTGACTGTGTTGATCGCTCCGTGAGGAGCTGGTTGAACTCGCGTGCGAGTCGCTGCAGAACCAGCACCTTGACAACATCGTTTTTAGAGACTTCGGTTGTCGGGTTAACAGTTGAGGTTGGTTTTTGGTTGATTCTGGATGTATGTAAATGGAGGTTCCTTTGGTGTTGTTCTTCTCGCCTGCCCTACCGAACACCAATCCTGCGGACCTGTTTGCATCTGGTTGCCATATTGAACTCATACCCTCACTCCCAAAACCGCCATGAACTTCTTACACCTTGAACACTGATCGCGGCTTCAACCCCGAAAGCCCCCAGCCTCTGAATTAAACTTGCGTCGAGACCACAAAATCTTAGACGCTATCTCGTTCACCCCAAGCGCCGGACCGTACTGCCCAAGGCATGACATCGCTGCAGAGCTCCAGCGCCAATGGGAGGAAAGAAGCCGGTCATTAGCGGCCTGGCTTTCTTCTCGAATGGTCTCCTCTTGATTTTGGGGGCTATAGGGTTCCTTTGGGGTTCTACAAAGATGTTCATACACATATACATGTGTACATATGGTCACGCCCCCACCGTCCACCCATGATCCATGCCAGCCTTCTCGCCCACTGTGCTCCCACCATCTTTAGACTTTGTCTGTTGTTGCCAAATGAAGAATCCATTTATATTTACCGTGGTTTCTCCACTTCACCGCTGCTTACCACTACTTATTTTACGTATTTGTGTGGTTTGAACACCACCTCAACCCCAAAACGGATTCTGTTTGGCGCTCCGTTTTGCGTTCCTACCGCTCGTTTGTCGCTCAGAAACCTCTTTTGGTTCCGGACAATCAGTGTGCTCTCAATAACAGAGCAGAAACTCTTCTTGCCGTGGGAGATTTCCTCTGCATCACAGAGAAGCATAGATAAGAGTTTTTTTTCCATCTTTACCTAATTCACAAATTCTGTCAATGATTATAAAGACTCTTGATTTGATCATCATTTAAAGTTTGTCGAACTACGTAAAATGAACAGTTTGAACAGAAATCGTTGCTGTTCTCACGCACCATAAGGAATAAGGACAACTCGTTCATTGAAAACAATCATAACAATGGTATCTTTGGCTTGCTATCAACAACACTAAACAGAGGTGTTTCCTATCTTTCAAAAAATCAAGCTTTGGCACATCACAGAACATGAAAAGTAACCTCCATGTATCTTCATGCTTCATAGGAACCGAGGGCAACCTGATATTTTCCAAATTGAGAAAGAAAATTGGTGGTGTTGTTTTCGTTCATTAGAAATCTTGTTTCATCACAAAGAAACACAAGAAGCCACCCTTGCAGCCTCAGCCCCTTATCAGTGGCTGGAATTCAACGATTTCTTACAGTCTGCCCAAAGCACAAATTTAAAATCTGAGTGTTGCGGGAAAGAAGTGATGTCCCTCCACCAAATTCCAAACAGATTCGGTCAGAAGTAAAGGATGTCGAACTTTTTGCGCTTTATACTTCGTGGGAACTAAGATAGACATGCATCTGGAAAGCATTCGTTGTTCTTCCCAACACATTTGCTGTTCTTTCCATAAACGCTGCAAGACGATCCGGGATCAGAACATGATCGAGCTCCGCTGCGCCGTGCAAGTGATAAAGCTCCTGCCATCCTTGAGTACAGCATGAAACAACTTCAAAACTCCCCTCAGAGCCCCCGAGCAATGCTGGAAGCAAATTTTGTCGGATTATGTCAAAAAAGTGGTAGAACCATTGATTTACAGTTTGAGTAAGGTTGACATTGACTCGGTTATGATTTTGCTCGATGAGAGAAGAGTTGCTACTGCCAGTAATTCAAGCAATTGAAAGCTCATTTACTAGATTAACCAATGCCCCCTGAATGGTACCCTTTTCCCTGTTATTCAGTTTGAATAAGGGAACCACAATATTAAGAAGGCAAAAACGGTACTACTGGGGAACTCACTTTATATGTAATTTGATGAAACAACTGAGCTTATCAGTTTCTTTATTTTTGTTTATGAATACTAGAAACAATACAAGGACATTTTTCGTAGTTCAGACAACGGGCAAGGTTACAAATTGTTAGCAAGATCTTACCTCGATAAAGAAACAAGAACTCCACAATGTTTAAACATGATGCAGAGTTCAAGGAACATGTGCATTGCATAAAACGTTCGAAGGCATCCGAGAACACAGTCGGGTTTCACCTTTACATAGTACAGCTGGCCTCCCTTTTTTGAGCAAAGCTGATCTTAACAACTGCTCAAATTATGTTCGATGAAAGAAAGAAGCAAGAGTACAGTTGGGAACCCGAAGGAATTAAAGGCCCGTGTATGAGTACATGGTACAGCTGTTCTTCTATTCTATTCATTTCAGGTTTCAGGATCTTGGGAAAGTCGAGCCTGGCAGTGTTTTCGCATCTGAGGTTGCCAAAACCTCGCCAGGCTCGAATTTCCCTCAAAATTCGCGAAGCTGCAAGTGCCAAAGCATCGCCAGGCTCGAATTTTCCCAAAATCCCCCAGGCATCTACATGGAGTGCAGGGCCATGGTTGCTGAGATTTTGGGGATGTTGGGAAAATTCGCGCCTGGCGATGTTTTGGCATGTACAGCTTTACAAATTTTGAGGAAGTTCGAACCTGGCAGCATTTTCGCAACCTGCACATATCGCCACAGCCATGATCCAGTCCCTTTAAAAGGAAGCGGCCATGGATCATGCCGAGGGGGTGGGTGGGTGGGTAAGCATACATATGTACATACGTAGATATATCCAACATATATCATACATAAATACATCATATACACATTATATATACATATATACATACATATATATATATATATACATATATACATATATACATACATATGTATATATGTACATATGTATATATGTATATATGTATATATGTATATATGTATATGGATATATGGATATATGTATATATGTATATATGTATATATGTATATATGTATATCTGTATATATGCATGTATGCATATATGCATATATGGTCACGCGCTCCGCGGCCCCCCCCCCTCCCCCCCCCAAAGGTCAATGGTCCGGATGTAGGGTGGGACCCCCCCTCCCCTGTGGTGTGGGGTGTGGGGTTCCTCTTCCCCCTGTGGGGTGGTTGTGGGGTTTTGGGGTTTAGGGTTTAGATTAAGCTTTTGAGTGTTGGGTTTACGGTTACAAGGTATAGCGCTTCGAGTCGACAAGGGCTTGGGGAGGATTTGCGGTGTATGTTCTGCTTTAGGCTTAGAGCCTGCAGTTAGGTGGGGTTTAGGGTTGGGTATAGGGTTTGAAGTACAAGTAAGGTTACTCAAAACAGGGCACGCGCTACGTTTAGCTTGCGGGCTTTGCGTGTGAGCCCTGGCCGCCAGCACCACCCCACCATCCAGTGACAGCTCCAACAGCCCCGACCCCTTTCCGCACACGCCAGCCCCCCCCCCCCCCCTGAGATGTAACCTGGACGTGTATCCCCTCGCTAGGCGTACAGGAACACAGGCACTCAGGTGTCTCTTTTGCTACAGGCGCACAGCTGTAGTCCACTGCACTAGAACCTTGAGCAACAGGCATGGATACATGCAAGTGATACGTGAAACAGACAGGCACCTGGATGTGTAACATTCAGTGTTTCAACCAGGCACAAATTTAAAACACGTAGAGCTGCATGGCCGTGGAGTCGGCATTCAACTAGCCTGTTATTGCTCTCGGTTGAATTAGCGGAGTATTGAGCTACATCTGCGACTTGAAGAGAAACTATACATTCTCTCACCTGAAGACAGCTTCACTGAAAAGAGCAGAACACGCACGAAAACGCAACGGATCTTCAACTGGAAACTTTTGCTTGAAAGTTGCCCACTTGTGTTTCAGTTCCCTCTCCAGGTGGAAAGCATGCTGTAACATAAAAGTTTGTAGAGCTTAGCTCCACTTGATGCCAGCATGACATCTTGCGACACGGCAAATGTATAAGGGCATTAGAAGTACCTTATCCTGAGATAAGTATCTTCCTCTGAGAAAGAGTTCTTTAGGAAGTCCCTTTTCCTGAGAAAAGCTTCTCCCTATGAAATGACGAATGTTCAGATTGGATACCTTCTTCTGAAAGAAGCATTCCGTGAAACACCCAGCCAGTTCAGTCGACGAACTCTAGATCCGCATCCCAGGTTCTATCACGCCAATGATCAGCACCATGCCAACGGTAGATGTCGACGGTATGGATCGGCATCACCGGCTGGTGACGAACAGGGTCGTAACCACGGGGATCAGCAGGGGACCTAGGTAGCGATATCTGTGGATCTGGAACAACGTCTTCATCTTGTTCCAAAAGAACTTCGTCAGAACCATTGTCCATATCCACGTCCGAAGAATCGGAACCTAGTCAGTTTTTCCCCTTGGACTTGTCCTTGGATTTGCCTTTGGACTTGCCCTTGTCGGCGTCCTTGTCCTTTCCTTTGGAGGACTTGCCTCCTTTGCCGCCTTCTTTGCCACCAGGAGAGTGTGCGGGTTCTTGAGGACGTTGAGAACCAGAAGCTTGAGCACCAGAAGCTGCCTCTTCCTGAGAAGAGCTTGCTCCCTGTGGTGCGGCTGCAGGACCAGTAGAACCAGAACCACGCGCCTTGTTCAGCTTCTGTCTCTCTTTTCTCCTGTCCGCGGCTTCCTTCACGGTGTCGGGATTGTGGTTGAGCGCCCTCATCCTGCCTCCAGAGTACTGGTTCGCGTGAACCTCGATGAGGAGCGGAGTGTGAGCGTCATAGTCCCGGTCGTTGAGAAGGTACGCGGCGCTGGTGGAATTCAACAGCCACTCGGAGACATGGATGTCGAACTCGGTCTTTGAAGGTGGAAATTCAGCCCATTGGTTGTCCGACATGCTGTGTCCCCATTCTATGACTGTCGCCATAACAGGGTCCAGACCAGGAAAAGTATTCCAGTCCGGCTGCTTGATGTCCTTGTACGGCATCCCCAGCGTGTCCTCATACTGCTTCAGAAGCCACATGGCGTTTGCTGACACGTGTCTCGCACGAGGCGAGCAGAGGTGTGGACATTTCGGGCTTTCTGACCAGGCCTCCAGGAAATAGTCGAGAAGGCTCTGGTACATCCCGCCACGAATGTCGATTGACTCCTGCTTTCTGCCCGTGGCCCGGTAGAGGGCCATGTTGGCGTCGCCACCTATGAGGTCGACCTGGTAGTGCAGGCAGTCAATGAACATATTGCCCAACACTTCGTGAGCCAACGCCACCTTGTCTGCCGCCACGTCGTTTCGGAGATGGAAGCAACAGACCCTTATACGGTCGGAGCCGGCACGCTCCAGAACCTTGGTCAATGCCTCATCTGGAAAGTCACCTCGGTTGCCCTGAATGCCAGTTGGAACTGTCATTCCATACACGATCTCTACGACCATATAGGTCAAAGGAAGAGATTCGTGTGCGAATCCACTGAGAGTGGAGCCAGCCAAACGGGTGATCGAAGATC